CTTGAACTCTAACGCTTTATTTGTCTACTGAAATAAAATAAGCCAAGCACAAGCACAGTAACAGACATTTGAGGACGCTGCTGTACATCAAATTCACGGCAGAAACAGAATTCATTCACATAAAAAGTGACCAGCTGTGTAGAGTCCTGTCTGCAGTCAGATACCTATCCACGTTTCTTCCACTTTGGATCTTGAATCTTTCCCATTCATGAGGCTCTTGTCAAAGTTGAATCACAAAGTCTTTTTGGATTTTGTCAAGTCAAGTCTTAAGCCTCAAATTTGTGACTCGAATCAGTATCGGGTCCAAATTATATGACTCGAGTCCACACCTCTGTGTGGAATGCTTGTGTATCTGTAGCACTTCTTTGTTTCATGTTCAGGCTTGGTGAGTGTGGGTAAACTACATTTAGGATGCTTAATTTTCATCTGTGTTACTGTGGCGCTGTCACTGTTTTTGTTAAAATCAAGTGTGGTGGAAAAGTCATGCATCACCAATATACTGTAAAAAATGATGCTTTCACTGAAAAAAGTAAGCAATCTGTTTCTCTAAAACTGTGTGTTCACTGGACATCAAGTAGTTAAGTCAAGTTAACAGACCAATGATCTGTGTCGTACGTTCTGTTAACTTATTTGAAGTTCAAAACATTGAATACTTCACAGTGTAGAAATTAGTAGAAATCATCTTATTACATTAAAGTACATTCAATACATAATTTCCATTCCCTGTAGTTCATTTTATAGATCATGTTTCATCATTTAAGTGTAAAGAAATAGTACAAATAGTGAAAAATAAATCCATCAGTGTTTTTGTGTGTAGCTGACAAGCAGTGCTGATGTGAAGAATGGTGCAATGTTACTGATATCTGATCAGTTTGTTTGATGACATGAGAGCAAAGTTTGAGAGAAAGGGGATTGATTAGCGCAAACTCAGTTTTACTGAGGAAAGACAAACTCAGGGCAATTCAGCAGAGAGAGAGAGAGAGAGAGAGAGAGAAAGAGAGACCTACAGAGATGTTTCTGGAGTTTCCTGTCCTGCTGAAGGACTGGCAGAGCGATGGCTGATAGAGTTACAGAAAGAGAGAGGGGGAGGACAGAGTGACCTCAGTGCACTGATTATACCATTACTGATAAATGTAATGATTTAATTTAATCACTTTGTTAAATTTGCACTTCTTCCATTGAAAGGGGAAGGACACCATAAAACACTCACACTCATTGGCCATTTTATCAGAAACAGCTAATACATAGGTATGTAGGTTTACAGTTACTGACTATCGCCCACCTATTGCTGCACAGTTGATGCTACTCTAAAATAAGTTAATTTAAGTGACTGATGTTGCTAGCTAGCTAAGTTAGCTTACACTGCTAGCTACTGTGGCAAAGCTAAAGTTACTCTAAGGGATTTCCTAATGTTGTTAGCTAGCTAACGTCATAGCCTACACCATTAACTACTGTATCATCCCTGCTACTCTGACCAGCAGCAATGGAAGGTAATATGCTGGTCACTAGCAAAATCGGCATGCTGCTTTTTTCAGGAGGGGCAGTTAAAGATATTGTAATGTATTTGCTAAAGCTTGCTAAGTTAACATTGTAGCCTACTCCAGTAGCCACTGTAGCAAGGCTGAAGTTGCTCCACTAGCTATCTAACTTAATACTGTAGCCTACACACTAGCTACTGTAGAAGTTACTCCAAGGTATTTGCAAATGTTGTTAGCAATCTAAGTTATTACTACAGCCTAAACTGCTAGCTACCATAGCATGGGTGAAGCTACTGTAAGAGATGCGAAAACAGTCATAATCTCATGTAAGCACATTTTCCAAACACAACACTACAACACTACATTTGGTCTTACGCCTCTACTCTGCACAAGTTACAGCGGTGGCTTAAATTAAATTCTAACCTCATCTCCTTGTTTTTTAAACTAGGTTTCCAAAAGCGGTGTGCCGTTTTACTAATACAAGAGGTGTGTGCGTGTTTGTGTGAGAGTGAGTTTCTGAAACCAGTCTGAGCTCTGAATGAACGCGGGCGATGAGCGATGCTGTTGCCATGGGAACGGTCTGAGTGCAGCATCCTCGGCCGTGCGAGTGTGTTAACCTCTAAAGTGGCGGCACGCGCACACGCACGCAGTCTTGAGTCTGAGTCATGAGTCGTGTGTGTGTTTTGTTCAAGGTCACACACACTCGCACACACACACTGCGCTGGTTATAAAAGGAGACGCACACAAAGCATTCAACTGGAAGAGCTAATTATTGATTAGTGGATCAGTGCTGATTGTCTTGGTTGTTACCATGCCAACACCAGAGACAACAGTGAGTGGTGGGCTGAGTTCACGTGGCCTGCAGAAGTTCCCAAAAATTGGGCAAGGTTGAATAAAATACTGCCACATATTTACTGTTTGAAATATTTAATTTGCAGTGTTGAACACTTCTGGCCACCTCAAATGTGGAAAGTGAGACAGTCAGGCATCATCAGTCAGTCATTCGTGTTCAATAATGCATCAATTATGCTTATATGTGAAAATCTGCCATGGAGGTAGGTACCAACAAGTCTGTTACGATGCTGCATTTAATAATTAGCATATCTTGCTGTGATAGGCTAATTTGCTGAGAACACAGGTAAGTAGATGTGTGCTGGGTTGCTTTAGTAACGCTGCTCTGTGAGCTACATTTACATCTACCCTCATCTAACACTCTTTTTACAGTTAAATACATGCATGTGCTGTTTAAATTAATAAAACTTCTATGATTTACCACTGAATCTATGAAATGATTTCATTAAGCTATTGTTGTGCACTGAAAAAAAATGTTTTTAATTTACTTAATCCAAATTCAAAAACTCCTCATGAATAACTAAAACATATTACATCAACACAGTTTTGTCTTTCAGGTATGGTATGTCATTTAATGCAGTGATGCTATTTTATTTAGTTTTTTCCTAGCAGTGTGCTAACCCAGTAATATCTCTGGGTTAAGCTTAGTGTTAGGTTTAAGGTTAGGATTAGGGCTAGGGCCACCCCATTAAAAAAAAAGTTAAAACTACACCCCTGCTTATTAGTTGATAGTTGAAAAATATCCTTTATACATGTTAAAATAAATCTATCAACGTCCAAATAAATTTCACAAATGTTGCACTTGGTGTAATACTGACTTTACACCAGAAGCAAAGTGCTCTGCACAAATGAAGCAAAGAGCTTTTTCTGTCCACATTTGTTTTTTTTTCCCCACATTAGTTTTTATTGTAATAAATAAATTAATATAACGTCCAAATGTCTTAATTCCATTTAGCACCAAAATAAACTGGCACCACTGCCGAACAAGAGTATAATATTAATTGTTATTAATAAGGTCATAAACAAATCAAAATCATTAAGGAATCGATCTAACACATTAATAAACATGGCTAAAGTAATCTGTTATTTCTGATGAATATGATTATCTCTTGAAACTGACAGGCATAAAGCTGATTCATAGAGAAGACTAAGAAAGATCAGTAACCAGCATGAGGTTGACCTGTATAGATTAGGGGTGTCCAGTCTTATCCACAAAAGGCTGGTGTTGCTGCAGGTTTTCACTCTACTAGTTTAATTGGTAGGTCTCACCAAAAAACAGTAGATCATGTGTGTTTCTTCTTTGTTAAAATGAACACTTGCAGCAACACCAGCCTTTTGCAGATAAGACTAGACACAGCTGGTGTAGATGAATATGGGTTCACTATTAGGCAAACAACAGGTAACTGCTGCCCTTTTTATGTTTTGTGACTGCTTTTTAATGATTTTAAGGTCTTAATAGCCTAATTAATAACATTAATAAATTCATTTTATATACACCCAAAAATAAATGTGCTAAAAAGCACATTTCAAAGGATGTTTTTTTAAAGGGCCAAAGATGTGTGAGTCTGAACCTTTTTGAGTTTATACAACCTCTACATAATGTATTGGTTCTAGGAAGAACTCTTAAACTGGTATAGAACTCATCAAACACAAATATGTTTTTTGCATTATGGTTATTCAGGGACCCAAAAGTGTTCTTCTAGGATATTATTAAAAGAGCATTTGTGACATCACAATCTTTTTAAGAAATATGAATGACATTTGAGCATAACTACTAGCAGTAGTACTACAGTATATATGTTTTTTTTGTTGTTGTTCTATATGAATCATTATCACTAATAGCACTAGGCAACGCCTGACATCAATAACTTTGGCAGCATCACATATAAAGCAGTCTTCTCTACATCCATCAGGTGAGCAGGTACACAATACCTATGCACACCAACGCTAAACAGGGTCAAATGGGAACAATGGGAGCAAACATGACCACTACCACCACCACCCTCCCCTTACCTGTACAACCCAGGATGAACAGGCTCTCACATTCCTGGTCCAGTGGTTTAACATCACTACTGGAACTACTGTGTTATCTGTTGTTTATGCAGTGGCTGAAGTGATATTGTAAATAAAGCAACCAGTAAAGCTCATTAACGCCATGTTCTCTCACTCCACCTGCTGGGCAGGTGCAGGATGCACACCTGAGAGGCACAAAGTGATGACTGTACAGGATTAAATTGAACTGCATGGCTGCACGCTGATGGGCAGGTGTGCAAAGTACAGGTAAACACATAATGCAGTGGTGGGGTGGGGGTCTCTGACTTTACAGGATTAAACTTTATAGGATTAAACTGAACTGCACGGCTCACCCTGTGCTCTCTGTCACCACCTGGAGGGCAGGTGTGCACAGTACAGGTACACACCTGAGGTAAACACGTAATGCACGGGGTGGGGGGAGGAGGTAAACAGATTTACCAGAACTAAACTGAGCTGCACTGCTGCACCCTGTACTCTCTTTAACCACCTACTGGACAGGTGTGCACAGTACACGTGGGACGGGGGGGCAACTTTTATAGGATTAAACGGAACTGTGCTGCTGCACACTGTGCTCTCCTATCACTACCTCATGCACAGGTACAGGTACAGGCACACACACCTGGAGTGTTTTCTTACCCGCGCTGCGCGTGAAGAGTACGGATCCTCAAACAGGTTCCACACCACGGGCTGCCACCTCCTCCAGCCCGCCTCTCGCTCCCTGTCCGCCTGCTCGCGCTGCTCCGTCGCCTCGCGCAGCTCGTCCCCGTCCTCGCCCCCCGGCCCCTCCCCCTCCCCGCCCAGTGCGTTCATGTCGAACACGTCCAGCGCCTCCTCTGCGTCCCGGTGCTGCCGGTAGGTCATCCAGCAGCACGGCTCCACGTCCGTCTCATCAATCCCCCAGAAGCTGAGCTCCTCCTCGAACAGCGGCCCGCACACGTCCGCCGGGCAGTGCAGCTTACCGGTCCGGTAGTAGTTCAGCACGTAGGCGAACACACCTGGATGTCGATCGAAAAAGAACTCGTTGTTGGCGCGCGTGCGCACCTGTTGCTGTTGTAACTGTAACTGCAGCTGGTTTTGCTGGTGCTGGTGGTGGTGTTGGTGCTGAGGCTCGAGCGCATGACTGTTCCCGCCGCTGCAACACCCGGCCGCCGTCACGGCGCACGCGGACGAAGGCAACTCCGACGCCAGCAGCGCCAGGCGCGTGCCAGGCAGCGTGCGCAGCGTATTCCGGTACGTCTCGTGCCTCGTGCCCCCGACGTTCAGTATGATCCGCTCGTTGTTGTTGTTCACGCTTGTGTAGTTGTTTATGTTTGTGTAATTGTTTATGTTTGTGCTGCTGTTGTCCTCGAGCTTCCCCATCGCTGCTCCAGACAAGAAGAAGAAGAAGTAGAAGAAGAGGCGGCGGAGAGAGGCATGACGCGCGCGCGAGGAGAGGAGCAGGACAGAATGAGGGAGAGAGAAAGAGAGAGAGAGAGAGAGAGAGAGAGAGAGAGAGAGAGCGCAAGGAGGGACAAGGAGGAGGAGCGCGAGACGCGCGCAGAAAAAAGCATGCACACACACAAGTCGCGCGCTTTGATTGGGAGGATAAAAAGCAACACTGAGTGTGTGGATCACTCAGTTTCATCCGTCTGAGACAGAAGGATCTCTCTCTCTCTCTCTCTCTCTCTCTCTCTCTCTCTCTCTCTCTCTCTCTCTCTGTGTGTGTGTGTGTGTGTGTGTGTTTCTCATCTACGCTTAAACACACAGTAAAATATTCAAACAGCACACGCACGCGCACCATGCTTCCATTCCATGCCGCTCCCGTCAGGAAACCATAAAGACAGGGTGGGAGGTCCGCGCGCTCTAGTCTCGGACGTTGTGCTTGGGGGACCACCGCACACCTCAATAGGGTGGAGCAAGAGCTCCTCTTTCTCTGTGCGCGCGGACGCAGGTGGGAAGCCTGAGCTCCGCGAGCACATTAGAAGAAAGAGAGAGAGAGAGAGAGAGAGAGAGAGAGAGAGAGAGAGAGACAGAGTGTGTGTGTGTGTGTGTGTGTGTGTGTTTGTCTCAGTGAGTCCAAGTGTTGGTGTGTATTAGTGTGTATTTGTGTGTATCAGTTGGGGGACCAATTTATTGATAATTATTCATGATGACCATGAAATCGATAAGTGGAATTTATGGCCTGTTTCTTTCTATGTGATATCAACGCTCTGCACTCCGATCCTTTTTCGGAAATTCTAGTTTTGATTTTAGGCGATCCGGTCTGTTATCCGATACTCCAGTTTATGGGTTTTAAGCACTCTGTACTCCGATCCGTGATCTGAAAGTGTAGTCCTAGTTTTAAGTATTTTACACTCTGATCCAATATCCAAATCTTTAGTCCTCATATTAAATACTCTGCACTGTCGAAACTCCAGTCCTAATTTTATGCGTTCTGTGCTCTGATCCTTTGTCAGAAACTCCAATCCTGTTTTTAAGCGTTCAGATCTCTAATCTCATGAATACAGATCTCCAGTGAAGGTTTTAAAAGGTCTTCACTCTGATCTGTTATCTGGAACTTTAGTTCTGGTTTTAACTGCTCTGTGCTCTGATCTGATATCTGGAACTCCAGTTCTAATTTTAAGCGTTGTTCACTCTGAACTGTTATCCGGAATTCCAGTTCTAATTTTAAGTGCTCTTCACTGTGATCTGTTACCTGGAACTCTAGTTCTAATATTAAACGTTTATCACTCTGATCTGTTATCCAGAACGTCAGTTCTGGTTTTAAGTGTTCTGTGCTCTGATCTGTTACCCTGAACTCCAGTTCTAATTTTAAGCGTACTTCACTCTGATCTGTTATCTGGAACTCCAGTTCTAATTTTAAACGTTGTTCACTCTGTTATCTGGAGCTCCAGTTCTAATTTTAAGCATTCTTCACTCTGATCTGTTATCTGGAACTCTAGTTCTAATTTTAAACGTTGTTTACTCTGTTATCTGGAACTGCAGTTCTAATTTTAAGCGTACTTCACACTTGATCTGTTATCTGGAACTCCAGTTCTAATTTTACGTGTTCTTACCTCTTGATCTGTTATCTGGAACTCCAGTTCTAATTTTAAACGTTCTTCACTTTGATCTGTTATCCGGAACTCCGGTTCTAATTTTAACAGTTCTTCACTCTGATCTGTTATCTGGAAATTTAGTTCTGGTTTTAAGTGTTCTGTCTTCTGATCTGATATCTGGAACTCCGGTTCTAATTTTAACCGTTCTTCACTCTTATCTGTTATCTGGAACTCCAGTTCTAATTTTAACAGTTCTTCACTCTGATCTGATATCTGGAACTCCGGTTCTAATTTTAAGTGCTCTTCACTCTGATCTTTAATCCAGAACTCCAGATCTGGTTTTAAGCGTTCCATGCTCTGATCTCTTATCTGGAACTCCAGTTCTAATTTTAAGCGTACTTCACTCTGATCTGTTATCCTGAACTCCAGTTCTAATTTTAAGCATACTTCACTCTGTTATCTAGAACTGCACTTCTAATTTTAAGCGTTCTTCACTCTTGATCTGATATCTGGAACTCCAGTTCTAATTTTAAGTGCTCTTCATTCTGATCTGTAATCCAGAACTCCAGATCTGCTTTTAAGCGTTCTGTGCTCTGATCTGTTATCCAGAACTCCAGGTCTAATTTTAAGCGTTGTTCACTCTGATCTGTTATCCGGAATTCCAGTTCTAATTTTAAGTGCTCTTCACTGTGATCTGTTATCTGGAACTCCAGTTCTAATTTTAAGCGTTTTTCACTCTGATCTGTTATCTGGAACTCCGGTTCCGGTTTTAAGCGTTCTGTTCTCTGATCTGTCATCCGGAACTCCAGTTCTAATTTTAAGCGTTGTTCACTCTGATCTGTTATCCGGAATTTTAGTTCTGGTTTTAAGTACTCTGTGCTCTGATCTGTTATCCGGAACTCCAGTTCTAATTTTAAGTGTTGTTTACTGTGATCTGTTATCCGGAACTCCAGTTCTAATTATAAGCGTACTTCACTCTGATCTCTTATCTGGAACTCCAGTTCTAATTTTAAGCATTCTTCACTCTGATCTGTTATCCGGAACTCCAGTTCTAATTTTAAGCGTTGTTCACTGTGACCTGTTGTCCGGAACTCCAGTTCTAATTTTAAGCGTACTTCACTCTGATCTGTTATCTGGAACTCCAGTTCTAATTTTAAGCATTCTTCACTCTGATCTCTTATCTGGAACTCCAGTTCTAATTTTAAACGTACTTCACTCTGACCTGTTATCTGGAACTCCAGTTCTAATTTTAAGCGTTTTTCACTCTTATCTGTTATCTGGAACTCCAGTTCTAATTTTAAGCGTTCTTCACTCTGATCTGTTATCTGGAACTTTAGTTCTGGTTTTAAGTGTTCTGTGTTCTGATCTGATGTCTGGAAGTCCAGTTCTAATTTTAAGCGTTCTTCCCTCTTGCTCTGTTATCCAGAACTCCAGATCTGCTTTTAAGCGTTCTGTGCTCTGATCTGTTATCCAGAACTCCAGTTCTAATTTTAAGCATTTTTCACTGTGATCTGTTATCTGGAACTCCAGTTCTAATTTTAAGTGTTTTTTTTACTCTGATCTGTTATCCGGAACTTTAGTTCTGGTTTAAAGTACTCTGTGCTCTGATCCATTATCCGGAATTCCAGTTCTAATTTTAAGCGTTGCTCACTCTGATCTGTTATCTGGAACTCCAGTTCTAATTTTAAGCGTACTTCACTCTGATCTGTTATCTGGAACTCCAGTTCTAATTTTAAGCATCCTTCACTCTGTTATCTGGAACTCCAGTTCTAATTTTAAATGTTGTTCACTCTTGATCTGTTATCTAGAACTCCAGTTCTAATTTTAAGTATTCTTACCTCTTGATCTGTTATCTGGAACTCCAGTTCTAATTTTAAACGTACTTCACTCTGACTTGTTATCTGGAACTCAAGTTCTAATTTTAAGCATTCTTCACTCTGATCTGTCATCCGGAATTTTAGTTCTGGTTTTAAGTACTCTGTGCTCTGATCTGTTGTCCAGAACTCCAGTTCTAATTTTAAGCGTTGTTCACTCTGATCTGTTATCCGGAACTCCCGTTCTAATTTTAAGCATTCTTCACTCTGATCTGTTATCCGAAACTCCAGTTCTAATTTTAAGCATTCTTCACTCTGATCTGTTATCCGGAACTCCCGTTCTAATTTTAAGCGTTCTTCACTCTGATCTGTTATCCGGAACTCTCGTTCTAATTTTAAGCATTCTTCACTCTGATCTGTTATCCGAAACTCCAGTTCTAATTTTAAGCATTCTTCACTCTGATCTGTTATCCGGAACTCCAGTTCTAATTTAGGCGTTCTTCACTCTGATCTGTTATCCGGAACTCCCGTTCTAATTTTAAGCGTTCTTCACTCTGATCTGTTATCCGGAACTCCAGTTCTAATTTAGGCGTTCTTCACTCTGATCTGTTGTCCGGAACTCCAGTTCTAATTTTAAGCGTTGTTCACTCTGATCTGTTATCCGGAATTCCAGTTCTAATTTTAAACGTTCTTCACTCTGATCTGTTATCCGGAACTCCAGTTCTAATTTTAAGCATTCTTCACTCTGATCTGTTGTCTGGAATTCCAGTTCTAATTTAGTCGTTCTTAACTCTGATCTGTTATCCAGAACTCCACTTCTAATTTTTAAGGTTTTTCATTTTGATCTGTTATCTGGAACTCCAGTTCTAATTTTAAGCGTTCTTCACTGTGACCTGTTATCTGGAACTCCAGTTCTAATTTTAAGCGTTCTTCACTCTTGATCTGTTATCTGGAACTCCAGTTCTAATTTTAGGTGTTCTGACCTCTTGATCTGTTATCTGGAACTCCAGTTGTGGTTTTCAATGCACTGAAGTCTTTGCTCTAATTCACTAATTTAGCACTTGCAAGAAGAAAATGACAAAAATGAAACAGGTCCACCGAGTAGAAACTGCAGTTAAGAGAGCCTTTTTCTTTTAGCCTATGCAACTCAAAGATGCAGGCATTGGGTAACAGCCCATTCTGCTAACAGCTCTTTAAAAGCTACGTGTGCATGTGTTCATGTATGGGCTGAATCAAAGGCTCTACTTCAGCTCAGAGCGCTAAAATGAGCAAACAAACTACAAGAGCCACCATGAGCTCTGATGTGAAAGGCAGAATTAGTGTAAAAGTATACATTTAAAAATAATGTGATTGGGTTGTTTTCAGTGTGAAAAGACTTTATGGCTTTGTCGCCCCCTCTGGCACAGATGGTAACTGTCTTAGATAACCTCAGTGTTACTGTAAAATACCTGTGGCTTTAAATAATGAAAATATTGATTTTAAGTGATCATTTTGCATTAATGTAACGATTTTTGAAAATTAGTTTTCA